TATAAGACAAATATCTAATATTTGCCTTATTATTATAGGTATCTTTCCATTTATTGTTATTTTCATTTATTACTATTTTCATATCCTTGTAATTTATTTGATTATAAATAAAATAACTTTCACACCATTTAGGTGGGGTGGATTAATCAAACATTCACAATGACAACTACTAAAAATATTTAGTACTAAATTATAGTTTATAATATATATTATATTTGACTTCTTACCATAAGTATCTTTTCATTTAGATGGGATGGATTACGCAAACAGCTCAACAACGTTTCTACAAACGTAACGAGACTTTGGGCACCATCTCAATCTGAATCGTTCTATGTCCCAAGTCGATTGGCGAACTAGCTTATTACTTTCCCACATCCAACTGGAGCACATCACCGACCCCATCTGCTTCTCATGTACGTACATACGTACATACAAAACCCGATGTGGACTTGGATAAGGGGATGAGAGGGGAATGGTTTAGAGAATGGGTGACATTTATGGACCATATTTTTATAATTTGTTATGGCAGACTTTTTAGGTCAAAAGTGGATGAGTTATTATTCTATTAATTAAAGTTTCCCAATATCACCATAATTTATTTAGGCTTTATTTTTCTCATCTTACTTTTCAGACTTTAATTCATTTAATTATGTTCATTTGGGTTAATCTAGAGTTTATCTTTGGTTAACTCCAGATTATCTATGATAAAATATTATTATTATTATTATTATTTTTTAATTTTCATCCACTTAAGATGTTTCCATGACATGTTGGGTCTACCCGATTATTTATTTATTTATTATAATAATAGTAGAATATTATGTTTTAATATTGACATTAAATTTTTAGACATTATACTTTGAACTTATATTTATATTTTTTTTATACAAATTCTTGATATGAAATGCATTTTGTGATTAAAAAAATAAATTAATTTAAGCATTTTTAATGCCAATAAAATAAATAAATAATATTTGTTTGGTACATCACAATATCATGAACGCTAGCGTGTTAGGTATGGTCATGAAACCTTCGTTCCTTCCTCTTTCCTTCCTTTTTTTTTTTCCTTCTTTAGAACAAAATATTAATATATGGGAGATTTCGTTTTATATTTTTATTATATAATTATATATATTTTTTTCAGTCCAACTATTAAGGAGTAAATGACGTGAGATCACACATGGGTTAGAGAGGAGAACGAAGTATTCTTTAATAGCTCAAACACGGGGCGATGTGCTAGCAAGGACGCTGGATCCTGAATGGGGGTGAATTGTGAGATTCCATATTGATTAAAGAGAAAAATAAGTACGAGCGAAGACGTTGGGCTCAAAAGGAAAGTGGATCGTTGAGAACCCACATCGATTAGAAAGGGAAATGAATGACAGTTGAACGGTTACAAATATTCATACCATTATTCTTTAGAATATAATTATATTTTTATTTTTAAGTCGATAGTCCGACGTTTAAATGTTTTTTTTTTAATAAAAAAAAATATTATTTATATTTTATTGGATTATATCCTTCTAACAAGGAACGTGTCTACGAAAGTAAGAATGTTACCACATCGTGGCTGTTGTCTAGGAGACTGTATTTGGACCCAAAACGACGTCGTAAAAGGGCAATTGTGTCCTTACAACCAATGGCAAATCCAGTAATTTTGTTAAACAATGAGGCTATTTTCTAAACTTCCCACCAAATATATTCAAGAACCACCATTTCGCCTCATTCCTCTTCCCCATATATATTCTCAAATTTCTCCCCTCTCTCTCTCTTTCCGTTTTCCCTTTTTCGCTCCCTCAATCTCTAACTATCAATCTCAACCCTAGAACCCTCAGTTTTCCTCTTTTCCTCCGCCGTCGACGGAGGCGAGTTTCCAGGACGCCGTCGGTGGATAAATCTGGCCGTACTTTCATCGGTCACCGTCGCAAGGACCGCCGCCTCTCGATCCGATTTCCGTCGTATCGACGTTTCGGATTCGGTTTTTAAACAGACCATTTTCTCTCTCAAAATTTCGGGGAGTTTACGCTTTGATCGTTTTTCGTTGCTAGAGTTACTGACATTCACCGTCTGCTTCTCTTTAACCGCTCCAAGTTCTTTATTATTATTAATTTTTCTTTTCTTTTTTTAGGTTTTTTTTCCTTTCTGTTTTTTTTTCATTTCCTCTTATCATTTGCGATTTGAAATTTGTTACGTCCGAAACGTCCAACTCTGGGTGATTTGACGGGTGAACCTTTCTAGGAGTAGGATTTTACGATTTTACCCCTTTGAAGTGCCACGTGGCATGATCTAAGGCTGAGGATGAGTTTTCACTCACGCACCATCACCACCATGTTGCCTCCTAGGGCGTCAAGGAAGCGAAAGGAGGTTGAGCCGTTTGTGAAGCCAAAAGCTACGGGAGTCGACTCAGTCTCGTCGAATCAGCTTCTAGCCGGCTACCTTGCGCACGAGTTTCTCAGCAAAGGCACTTTGTTTGGGGAGAAGTATGAGCCGCCTCGAAGTGAAGCCGTTGGAATGACTAGCTCACAGCCATCTGAGTGTAAGAGGACGAAGCCGGAAGCCGCCGCCGCTCCGAGCGTCAGAAAAGAAAATCATAGCTATGCTGAGGTGGCAAGCATCTTGAAAATGGATGGGGCCCACTTGCCTGGGATTGTTAACCCGGCCCAGCTCGCTCGGTGGATTAAAATGTAACGTCCGGCGTGGTGTCCTTTCATTGGATGTAAATTTTACTTTGAAGTTTGCGTTGAAATTTCTCATTTCTCATAACCGTTGGAAGGATGGAAGTAGAGACGAGTGCTCTCTCTCTCTCTCTCTCTCTCTCTCTAAAATAGCTCTCGGGAACTTTCTCTCTCATTCTCTTTTGTTCTCTCGAATTTCATATGAGTGTAGCGAGATCTGTTGCTGATCAACGTATAGGACTGAGTTCGGCAACGGAGAATCAGTCAGTTTGTTCTAATTCTGTAATCATACAGTTTCTCCTTCCATGTAAATGATTATATGTTACTCTTTTTCTTTTGTTTCAGATTTTTTATTTCTCCGATTTCTGAAATACAGGTCTATAATGGATGCATGCATAAGGTTTCATAAGCTGCAAATGTTGAACCGACATTTGCTTTAGAAATCGGAGCCATGATGATTGAGGTACATACGCTATTGAAATTTTCTGCACTTTACGAATTTCTTTAGATATATGTGGATCGATGAATGATTCTTCTCGTTTGCGTCGTAAATGATTGGTTCGATTGTTCCTCTTTTATTTAGTCGGCACGGCAGCCTTGACCGTCAAAATTCGTTCATCTGTCGTGCCAATTTAGAATTTGTTACGGCCTTAGATTTTCACTGCAAAAATTTTCCGTTTCGTCGATATATTGCTTTATTTTCTTCGGAAGAAAATTGCAATTAATTTTTGAAACATTCTTCGAGGAAGAATGTCGGATGATCGGATAATCAAGTTCTTTGTGAAAGAACTTGTTATGGCCTATGGATGGCTTTGGATATCCGTGCGTATTGTCTCTGTTTCTGCCGTCAGCTTCACTTGGAAGGAAACCGCCGTTAATTTTAGTAACATTCTATCTTCAAGAAACGCTCTATTGTTCGATTCCATTACCACGGCGCAACAAGTAAGTATCACGGTAGTTTTCAATCTTCAAAAGTTTTGTTTGCTCCTAATATGCTTCACAGTTTTATGAACACGTTTGAAAATTTTAGCTTTCATAATTATATATTCAGTACACAAGCGTAATTTTTTCTTTTCTTTTCCAAAAGTACGAACTACGAAAATACTTTCTTCTAAATCTATCTAAGACGTTTACATCAAGTTATGCAAAATTTCCTAAGAACTTCATTTTTAACCTTTTCGATGTTATAGGTTTCGACATTTTCTTGCATTATGATTATGTTGCAAAGAGAAGGGTCAATACAGTTAATAACTGTTGTGTTTGGAAACTCTTTTATACTTCTCTTTTCCTCTCTCCTTCTCTTCCCTTCACCTTATTCTCCTCCACCATTTCATCTGCGCTCTCCTCCTTCAACTTTCAACAAATTTGATGGCAAAAAGATTTGTGCTGGACTGCAACGACAAATATAGACAGTGCCAGCGACACATCACTCAAAATGCTTCAGATCCGGATGAATCAACCAAAATCAAAATATTATATAATAATATAACGCACTACAACGTTTCCGATAATCATTGCCACGTGGAAGTACCCTACTGAGCACAGGCAGTTTGAAACGACGGTTTCTATCGCTGTCCATCGACGGTTATATGCATTTGAGATTATCGGAAGGGCCATTGAATCTGGCCGAGGAAGAAAGAAGAAGGAAGGTTTGGACGTCGGATGAAAAGGGAAGAGCGATAGAGATAAAAGAGTATTTTTAAAAGGTTAAACAATTAATTATATATATATAAATGGAAAAGGTAACGTGAAGCCCATGGACTTGGGTTTAACCCAATGGTTGCTAAATCCAGGCCTTGAAAAACCCAAATTCTTTGTATTCAACCTTTGAAATATTATGGTTAAAATCAAACTCAAATTCTTTACATCAACTTTTCTTTCTTTTTTTTTAACATATAAAAAAGCCGAATATGTTTAGTGTTTGAATATTATAGTGTTAAAAATCGTTGGTTAACTGTAATAATGCTATGATTTGAGTTGCAATATTTATAATTTATAATTCAAGAGAGGCGTATTTATTTTGCAATATTTAAGAACTTTAATAGGACAAAACATCTTCCTAAAGTAGAAAACAAAGGAAGTTGAGGATTGTTGGGAGAGGAATTCTCGTATTGGCTACTTAAGAAGGAAAGATCATGAGGTTTATAGATAAGAAACATGATCTCCATGGGTACTGAGGCCTTTTATGAAAATCAAAAGCAAAGTTGGGAGAGACCTTTTGTGAAAATCAAAAGCATAATTGAGAGATTATGCTCAAAGTGAAAAATATCGTATCCTCGTACTTTAATGCAAAACCCAATAAGGGCAAAGGAAAAAAAAAAAAAATAGAGACAAGCTTCTTTAGTTTATTCCTACCCTTGTATTATTCATTGGTGCGAGTCAAAACAGAAGATTAGCAATCAAGCTCACATCAAAAGCTAATGGGTTCTACAGATACCAAAGTAAAGAAAGAGACTTTAAGGCTTAAATTAGAGCAGTGATGGTGAGGTTAGACATTTGATTCAACTTATGCTGCCTTCACCGCAACTGATCTTGCTTTCAGATTCAGAAAGATTCCCCTGAAACCAGAAACCACGATTGTGTTAAGGGGAATATGTACAAGATCAAATCACAATTTCTTTTCCAGATAATATATATATATATATATATATATAGCTTCATATTCTTGTAGGCTAAGTTACAAAGCATACCCCACGACCTTTGCCTTTCGTTAAAACGTATTCCTATTTTTTCAAAACTTAGCAACATCACCCATGAGTCGTGACGTTCACAATCGTTCCAAACTAGTTTTGGTGCCGAACTCTATTTGAATGTTGGATGAAACTGATATATAGAGTGGTGTGACCATGACCATTAACGGTAATCGATTCTCTATTTTCATCTATTTTGAAACATTTATGAAACAATAAAAAAATTTAGAGGTGATGGTGAAATGGCCTAATATAAGTAACATTATCAAGCCAGATGGTACACACATCAAATTCTAATGCTCAGATTTTCTATTTCTTTGGACTCTTTTTGCTCTAAGTCAGATAGATTTGTAAAATGGTCTTATAGTATTTGTAATAGCTCAAGCCCACTGCTAGTAGATATTGTCCACTTTGGCTCGTTATATATCGCTATCAGCCTCATGAATTTTAAAACGTATATACTAGGGAGAGGTTTCTACATCCTTATAAAGAATGTTTTAAAACGCATATACTAAGGAGAGGTTTCTACACCCTTATAAAAAATGTTTCGTTCCCTTCTCCAACCGATGTGGGATCTCACAATCCACCCTCCTTGGGGGCCCAACGTTCTCGTTGGCACACCGCCCAGTGTCTAGCTTTGATACCATTTATAATCAAGCCTACCGCTAGCAGATATTGTTTGCTTTGACACGTTACATGTCGCCGTTAGTCTCACGTTTTTTAAAACGTGTGTGCTAGGGAGATGTTTCTACACCCTTATAAGGAATGCTTTGTTCCCCTCTCGAACTGACGCGGGATCTCACTTTTTTTTTTCTTCTTCTTCTTTTTTTCTTTTTTTTGCAGGAACAGTTAGAAAAATAATGAACAAGTCTCACCAGCATGAAGCAACAAAGCTGTGAAATATCACTCGAAACTGCAGAGGCATGTACTGGTAATTCACCCAACCAACTATAGGCCAGAACTGCAATTCATAAGCATCTCATTCTTATTATCTAATTTACTAAGCTTTCATTTCTAACAGCAACACAAACCCAAATCAAAACAAAACAACAATAGGTTTGAATTCCATACCCGCCAAGCAGTCAGCTGAATAGTTGGATAATCCTTTCGAACTTTAGCCTTCACTAAACTCCATGGTCTTCCTGAAATTAGAGGCTCTAAGTTTGTCAAACCTTTTAGCCAACATGACCTTTATGAACATAGGACATCCATGGAGATTAGAATCAGATTATGGCAACCAATACTATGGAGGGTTGAATACTTCTGGACAAAACATGAAAAGCTACACAAAATCCTGTCAGTAACCCATATTTGACCATCGTTTGAAATGGTGAAGATTTTTGAGGATGGTTGGAAGGGAATACCACATTGGCAAATGAAGGCAGCAATGATCATGGGTGTATAAGGAACACATCTCTATTGGTACGAGGTCTTTTGGGGAAACCGAAAACAAAACTACGAGAGCTTATATTCAAAGTGGACAATATCATACGATTGTAGTAAACGATATAAAAAACATAGCTAATTGCAGCAGATTTGCTTACCTTCAACTACCAAACCATAGTATATCATGAAAAACAAATTGTTCCAAGGAGAGCTGGTCAATTGTTCCAATATCACCTTCAGCCATCAATATCACCACAGGAAACGACTAAGATTACAAGGAAAAGATTCAGATTTAGAAACTTTTAAAGAAGAAACAAATACTACCTTCTTTGCAACAGTTGTGTTTCCTTTCTTCCCCTTGAAAATTTTATCCATTAACTTATGCAAAAAATGCCCAAAGGGTCCAGCATAAGCAAAGCCATAGAGCTACAGAGCAGTAATTCAACACATTTTTAGCACCTCACCAGCCATTATCCACAGAGAATCACAGAATTAATAAAGGAACTTTACCATCAAAAGAAGTAATCGTCTGATTTGAAGCTTTTTGATCCCAGAAATCTTCTGAGCCACCGTGTCGCTGCAACCAGCTAAAACCCCAGCAGTGATCGCCTAAAAAGAAAGGTAGAACAGAGTTAGAACAACCCAAAGAAGCCGAATCAGATTCTGAATGAAACAACGGACCTTTGTTCTGAGAGGATTCTTCTGAAGTTGAAGGAGATAGCCTTTCCAGGCATCGGTAACTATGGAAGACATAGTTCTCGAGAGTTGGGGATCTCCAAACTCTTGGGATGAAAATGGAAACAATAAGCGAAGATTGTTGTTATGATCGGGAATGGAATGGGGGTTCTGGAGAATAAGTTTTGGAATTAACGAATGTTTGACTTTGATCGCAGGGGTTTGGTTTGCGACGCCGGTAGACCGAGCTGGGACCCGTCTCTCTCTCGAACCCTACCATCGAAGGTACTCACTCGATCATTTCGCATGAATTTCCAAACAATTGCTTGCCCTGACATGAATTTCCAAATTTGGCCTTTTTTTTTCTTTTTTTTTCTTTTTTTAACTTATTAGGTTTAATTATATGTTGTTTTAGTCCTCAATTAAAACTTTAAAAATAACTTAAATTAATATTGTTTCAAAAAATATATTTGAATTTAATTTTTTTTTATATACCTTCCAATTTTTTTTATTTGATTTTATTGAATTAATTACCGTTGAATTTGATAATTATTTAGTTTTTGAAAATTACATTTTCTAAAAATTACTATTTTTAATTTAAAATTTTTGTTTGGATTTTAAAAACATTTCTAAAAATACATATCAATAAATGGAAATAATGTTTATAAATTTAATTTTCAATAACTAAATAATCAAACCGCGTAAATAATTTTGTATATATATTTAATATATATATGATCGAAAAGTAAAAATGTAAAAGGACGTTTTAAAGGCTTGTTTTTTCTTGTAGAATGGAAAAATGTAAATAAAAGGAGGGGCAAAATAGTAAAAGGATAAAGGTTTGACATTTATTATTAAAAAAAAAGGCAAAAGAAAATTGAATTCTCAATGGATTTTTTGTTTTCAAATGAAAGAAATTATGGTGTAATTACAATTTTTAATTACGGAATTAATTAGGTAACTTTCTCCATCATAACTTGGATAAGTTTATGTCGGATCTCACATATATATATACGTGAAATATTGAAATAAAATCTCTTATTTTCCAATAAGATTTGACTGTATGAAAGTGATGCATATTTAAAGATTCTTAGTAGCAATCGAGAACAAAGTTTTGTTGTAACAATCTAAACCTAATTGTCTGCTTTGACTTGTTATGTATCGTTCTCGTAGGTTTAAAACATGTATGTTAGGGAGAAGTTTCCAGATCTTTATAAGGAATGTTTTGTTCCCTCTCCAACTGACGTGAGGTCTCACATTTACGTATGTTTGCATAAACCATGTAGCATATAGTTTGATATCCTGGTCCAAGAGAAGAACCATGTATTTTTATTACTCAATGTTTCTAAAACTTTATTTTTTTCACATACAAGGAGAGTGAGCCATTTGGCGGTTGAGTCGTTGAGTCAAGGTCAGCATGGTTTAGCTTCCACACCATTTCATTTGTAGAGGTTAAGTTATGAGCCGGTTAAATTACATCAAATATTGTTCGGGTTTAGTTTAGGATTACAAAGTCGAGTGGTTACAAATGAAGTTTTGAATTGAATGGACTTATGGCTGCTGGCTTTTTGACTAAGAAAAAAAGTAAGAAGTTTCATGTTGAATTTCTAGGTTGACCAATTCAAACATAGTTTATTTTATTATTTTTTTTATTTTATTTTTAATAATTTCCTTTGATTTACTATAGGAGTCGCATTATATTATTTTTGGGTTTAAAATATGAAATTGTTGATGTTTGAAAATATAGACGTCTGAACATATTTAAATAATTTTATTTATTTTGTACGAAAATTTGTAAGAATATTCGAGAATATTTAGACCGGTCGTGTTTATTTTGTAGGATATATAAATGAGAATGTCTTGAATTGATGTATTATTCCAACACTATCCTCTATTATCGAATAAGTTATATATTTATTTAATACTATTAAAATTATATAATTTATTTTATGGGGTTAATAATTTAATATTTTAAATTATGAATTCAGTTCGTATTAATTTTACTTAAAAAAAAAAAAAAAGTTAATGGATATTTTCTCTAATTTTATTTTTATATATTCAACTAAATATAAAAGTGATAGGAAAACGCGGAAAAGAAAAATATGGAAGAAAAATAATTAAAAAATTGGACGTTGGGAAGTCGTAACGGCTATATTTTGTTTGAACTTCAAAGCGATACCCCATTTCTCCTTTTTTCCTCATTTCAACGGGTCTTCTTCTTCAATAGCTCTCTGTAATTCCTCATCCTTCCTAAATTAGCTTTCTTCATAATCCAATCTTGAAGTTCCTCGATCAAAAACCCTAGTGATCTGCAAATCAGTCTTCAAATCGAATCGAGGTAAATTCTTCTACACTTCTTTTTTCTTCTGGATCACTGTAATGGCTCCAACGCCGTCTTCGAAATCAAATCAAGGTCACATGAACCAATTGAGAACTCCTCAAGCAAAACGCCTCAATTTCAATCCCCCTAGGCCACATTTATCCCCTTTCCCCAATTCCGCCATTAAATACTCTCAATCGGAGCATCCGGTTGAAGTAATCGGCCGGATCCGAGACTATCCGGACAGGAAAGAGAAACCGGCTTCGATTCTTCAGATAAATCCCGACGGACAGAACGTTAGGGTTCGGGCCGATTTCGGATACCGGGATTTCAGTCTCGACGGAATTTCGCTGTCGGAAGAGGAAGATCTGGACACGTTTTACAAGAAGTTCGTCGAAGCGAGGATTCATGGCGTTAAGTTGGGTGAGAAATGTACGATTATGATGTACGGACCTACCGGTGCCGGCAAGAGCCATACGATGTTTGGCTGTGCGAAGCAGCCGGGGATAGTGTATCGATCGCTGAAGGACATTTTAGGCGATGGAGAAAGTGAAGCTGACACCGCTGCCGGCGCAGGTGGTGGCGAACATTTGAACGTTGGGATGTTTGTACAAGTTACGGTGCTGGAGATTTATAATGAAGAAATATATGATCTTCTATCGAGTAATTCTGGCGGAGGGCTAGGGCTTGGCTGGCCGAAGGGCAGTGCCTCTAAGGTAACATCACTCGACTCCCTACACTTGTTTCTTGAATTAGGTTAAAATAACATTTTGTTCTTCTTGGTCTTCGTACTTTTATGTCAAAGATTAGTGCCATAGTTTTGGGAAATGTTAGAAAGTGGTTCGTCCTGTTTGAGCTATTAAGTTATAGGAATAACGACTCTCCACAATGGTACGATATTGTCCACTTTGAGCATGAGCTCTCATGACTTTGCTTTGGGTTTTTCCAAGAGGCCTCGTAGCAATGTAGATGTATTCCTTACTTATAACCTCGTGATCATTCCCTAAATTAGTCAGCATGGTACTCCCTCCCAACAATCCTCCTTTCGATCAAAGTACACCATAGAGCCTTACCCTGAGTTCTATGTAGCCCTCGAACAGCTTCCCCTAAATCGAGGATCGACTCCTTTCTTTGGAATCATCGAACAAACTACACCCTTTGTTCGACACATGAGTCCCTTTTGACTACACCTTCGAGGCTAGCAATTTCTTTGTTCGACACTTGAGTTTTCTATTGACATGGCTAAATTAAGGGCATGACTCTTGATACAATGTTAGGAATAACGACTCTCAACAATAGTATGATATTGTCCACTTTGAGTGTAAGCTCCCATGTCTTTGCTTTGGGCTTACCCAAAAGATCTGGTACTGATGGAGATGTATTTTTTATTTATAAACCCATAATCATTCCCTAAATTAGCGTGGGACTCCCTACCAACAAGCTGTTCATACAAATATTTTTCATGGAGCCGAGAAAATGTGATCTGTTTTGTTTGCTTGGACTGTGATCTCAAAGGGACTGAAAGTTTAAGATCATTTTGTTGTTGCAGGTGAAGCTTGAAGTAATGGGGAAGAAGGCTAAGAATGCTACATATCTATCTGGGAATGAGGCAGGAAAGATCTCCAAAGAGATTCAGAAAGTGGAGAAAAGAAGGATTGTTAAAAGTACACTCTGTAATGAACGAAGTTCTAGAAGCCATTGCATGGTATGTTTGAAGAGCTGTCTTCTTTATCTAGTTGATTACGTTTTGTAATGCTTATTATCTTTTGGATTTTCATAGGTAATCCTCGACGTGCCAATGGTCGGCGGGCGCCTAATGCTCGTCGATATGGCTGGTTCTGAAAATATAGAGCAAGCTGGGCAAGTTGGATTTGAGGCGAAAATGCAGGTGAAAATAGTTTCAAGAACAGTCCATCCCCCCCTCCCCCTGTGCTCTTTAAGAACTAAATATTTTCTTTCAATCACAGACAGCAAAGATTAATCAAGGTAACATTGCACTGAAAAGAGTGGTTGAATCAATTGCCAATGGTGATTCTCATGTGCCTTTCAGAGACAGTAAATTAACTATGCTTCTGCAGGTAACTTTCCTCCCCTCGGTGAAATTTCTTATGCTTAGAATTCTTTGTTCTTGCTCAGATTGTGTTTCTAATGGTGATTCTCATGATGCTTACAATGTTTCTTTTTAGTTTTGCTCAGATTGTGACTGAAAGATTGATTTGGTTTGATCCAATTCTTCTGTTTAGGATTCTTTTGAGGATGATAAATCCAAAATTCTGATGATTCTGTGTGCCAGCCCTGATCCAAAGGAACTACACAAGACAATCTCTACGCTCGAATATGGTGCGAAAGCCAAATGCATTGTCCGTGGTCCTCACACGCCGATGAAGGATAAAGGCGGTGCGGACGATTCGGCTTCTGCTGTTATTCTGGGGTCGAGAATTGCAGCCATGGATGATTTCATTTTCAAGTTACAGAAGGAGAACAAACTCAGAGAGAGAGAGAGAAATGAGGCACATAGAGAGCTCATGAAGAAAGAGGAAGAGGTATCGGAATTGAGAGCTAAGCTCGAGCTAGCAGGGTCGAGAGGATCTGGCCTCGTGAGTGAGGACGAGATCAATTCGAAGGTGAACGAAAGAACTCAACTTCTGAAGCTTGAGTTAGAGAGGAAGCTGGAGGAGTGCCAGAGAATGGCCAATGAATTTGTTGAAGTGGAAAGGAGAAGGATGGAAGAAACAATAATGCAGCAACAACAAGAAGTTGAAATGTTAAGACGACGTTTAGAAGAGATCGAAACCGAGCTATTGAATTCCAGGGATGCCACGAGCGTCGACGTACACAAATCAAGGGACATGGATGGCTGTAAGCTTGCTAAAAGGCTCTTAGGAGTTTATGCTAGTGCTGATGCAAGTATGGTGAAGTCCATGGACCTTGACGTGGATGATCAAGAACCGACTCGCGAAGTAAAACTCATCGGCGGTGTGGATTATCATCCAACAACAACGAACAATGGTATCCAAAGCCTACTAGACAAAGTGAACGAGATAGTTGATCACGATGTGTTTTCATCGCGATTTGGGGATCGGGATAGAGTATGCCTGAGTACCGTGTTCGAGGAAGAAGAGGTAGAAGAGGAAGAGGAGAAGGAGGTTATAGAAGAAAAGCGAGTAGTGTGTACAGTTGAAGGACTCAACAAACTGACACCAAATGGTATGAACAAAAATAACCTTCCCAAGGAGAGATCAGAGATCGGCATCGGATTGATGAACGATAACGAACACTCGAAGGACACAGCGTTCTCAAGAAAATTGAGAATTCAAAATATATTTACTCTTTGTGGAAACCATAGAGAGCTCTCTCAACAAGTTGGCTCAACGCCTGAGAAGAAGAGATCAGATGATGCTGAAAATCAGCACCTATCATCTCCATTGAAGCCTGCACCAGATCATTACACTCAAATTCTTTCAGACCTGACGGTAATATTTATCGGTTTCGAAAATTTAGTTTCGTAGCGTAAGAACAATCATTTCGACTCGTGTTTGTTTACTTTGCAGAACCAGAATGGAGCATTGTTGACAGAAAATGAGGAGACAATGCAGGCTGTAAAGCTACAAGTAAAGGGAGGAGTAAACAGCCCTGGTGTTGTCCCATTGAGTCCAATTCCATTGTGCTCAAAGGAGAACCAGCTACCCGTCACGCCGAGCATCGTATCACAGCAACGCGATGGCCTATCGCCGCCGAGGCTCTGCGTTACGCCGTTCATCACTGTAAGAAGACACTGAGGGGAAAGGAAATGGGGGATTTATGTTAGGACTTTTACATATTTTGTTGTGGTTGAGTATATAGAGATGAATATACTCTTGTGTTGGACTGAACCCTGAAAAGTTGTTAATAGATTCATGAAATCTTCAATGTATTCAATTATATCTTATACTTTGTTATATATGGAACGTAGTCTTCCTTCCCATTATTGTTCTTCTAAGAATTTTTTTTTTATGTAGGATCTTTATTTCAAACATCTATCGGTGAATAACTCGATTATTCACCCGATTAACTCAGTTCTGCTAGTAATTCTATTTGGGTATGGAAGATTTTGTTGATTTATGGCTCCCATGAAATATTTTCGAGTCGAACCAAATTCATTTGAATTTATGTTTACCAGTGATGGACTTGAACTATTACAAATAGTATCAGACCTAGACACAGGGTGGTGTGTCAACGAAAACACTGGTCCCTTATAAGTCAAAGTGAACAACATTTGCTAATGGTGGACTTGTGGTGTGGTGTTACAAATGGTATCAGACCTAGACACTAGGTGGTGTGTTGACGAGACGTTGGCCCCATCGGGCCAAAGTAAACAATATTTTCTAGTGGTAGAATTTGACTATTACAAATAGTATCCGACATAGACACGGGTGATGTGTCAATAAAGACGCTGGTCCCTAGAAAGGTGGAATATTGAATGTGAGATCGGAGGAACAAAAATACTTTTTTATACAAATATTTGGGGTGAAAAGTATATATTTACTTTTACTTTTTTACTCTAAATGAAAAAAATAGAATCAATATCTTTATCAACTTAACCAACTAAATTTAATACTTTGTAATTGATTTTGGTTGAATTTATTATTTCATAGAAGTTAATTAGGTTGAAAACTTAATTAAAAAGAATTTATTTAAAATTTAAAAAAGAAACAAGAAAATAAAATGATGTGAAACGTGGGCCGGAAGAGGCCCAAAAGAAAGCCTTCAATTGGACCTAAACTTCCTTATAAGGCCCAATTTTATGAGTATCCAGTTAATTTGAGAGCCCTAGACAAAAGTTATTATAAAGTGCAGTAGGCCAACACTTTCTCCTTCCTTCCTCCATCGGCGCCGCTGCTCTCCACAGTTGTAAACCTCCCACAAGCCGCAAGAATGGTGAGAATCTCTCTGTAAATCATTTGTTTCTACTGTCTCTTATCTCTGCTTTGTTTTTCATTGTTTCAACCTGTTCATTTTGGTCTTTGGTTTTGTTTGTTTAGCCGTTTAAGAGGTACGTCGAGATCGGGAGGGTTGCCCTTGTCAACTACGGTGAAGATTACGGAAAGCTTGTTGTAATCGTTGATGTCATTGACCAGAATCGGGTAGGCACTCGCAATATCGTTTTATTCCATTTTTTGTAGATGTTATTCTGATGGTCTTTAGCAAGTCTTTTAGAGGAAAAAGCCGTAGTCTTATTAATGTTCGTAGCTTCTGTGGAAATTCGTATTATAGGGCTTGGTGATGTAACTGCTGGATATTGAACTACTTGTGTTTCAGTCTTCATGGTGTTTTTTTTTTTTGGCCATAAAATGTAATCCTTGAACTACTGGATAGTATTGCAAATTTTATAGATATTTTTGTTAGAACTTAAGAATCGATGGATTTATACACTACTTTATTTCATTTGTAGAGTGTTGATATTGGTGGTTGTCATTTCCAACATTCTTAATTGGTGGATTGAAGTTCTTTGATGCATGCAACTTGGGTTTTTGTTGCTTATCTGCAGAAGTATTAATTTTCTATTCTCTAGTAATTTTGTATCTTTTTGGAATGAGTGAATTTTATGACTAGTTCCTTAATGGAGCCTTTTGTTAAATCATCTGCATGACTAGTTTGATTTTTTGTTTGGACAGGCTCTGGTTGATGCCCCTGATATGGAGCGATCTCAAATGAATTTTAAGAGACTTTCCCTGACAGATATCAAAATTGATATTAAGAGGGTCCCTAAGAAGAAGGAGTTGATTGAAGCAATGAAAGCCGGGGGTATGGAGTAATTCCTTGCAATATCATCTTCTACTTGTATTGTTTTAGTATGCGCTTAATTGTGTTTCTATCCAATAATCAGATGTTCAGAAGAAATGGGAGAATAGCTCTTGGGGAAGGAAATTGATTGTTAAGAAGAGAAGAGCCTCTCTCAACGACTTCGACAGGTTCAAGCTTATGTTGGCGAAGATTAAGGTTTGTGCTGATTATCTAATGATGCACCACATTTTTAAAAAACAATTGATAACATTTGAACTTATGGGTCTTGGTTTATGCAGAGGGCTGGATTGGTTAGACAAGAGCTTTCCAAGTTGAAGAAGGCCGAGGCTTAGAGGGTCATTTATTCAACGGAATCTCTCATTTTGCTGTCATCTTTCATTTAACTAATGTAGGTCTTTGTTTTTTTTTGTTCCAAACTTTTGTTAGCAGTCTTTGTGTTCAACTTCTCACATTTAAATTATAGTACGCCAATTGCTTATTTGGATTTCAATACTCAACTTCATCACCCTCTATTCATTAGGTCCTTGTTTAAATTGGCTTGAATGATAGTTCTGGTTTTTCATTTCCTTAAAAAAGTTACTTTACTGTGAGTTAATGTCTCTCTATGATTTGCCCATTATTCTTCACGGTAGTTGATTAAGTAGCTTTTTTAGTGTATTCACTGAATTTATATGCTCCCTCTCCACATGTTGAACATAGAAAGAAAAATTTCTTAATCTTGTATCCAAATGTATATCCTTGTTCATAATTAGTGTAGGGTCTCTAGAGATTACTACCAGAATGCACCTTATTGTTGAGCTTGAAGCGTTGATCGCAATCTTAGGTTGGTTTGGATTGGGTCTTTTTTGTTTTTTTGAACTGCATAAGAACATTCAAACAAACCATTAGCTATGGATGTTTGATCCCTTCTAATTGAACTATGAAACATTTGAGTTGGTTTGTTAGTTTGTTTTTGAGTCCTTTACTAGTAGAGTAGCCTTCTAATTTCATTGGAGATTCGATTTTCGATATGGTTATTGGTATCTTTATTGGATTGACGTTGAGCTTTAATTCTATTCTTTCTTCTAACAAACCGAACCGAGAAAAAAAGAAAAAATTTCTCACTTTTGGAATAAATGTTTGTGTTTTGGCTTATTGCTCTTAGCCTCACTTTCAATCTTAATGGTAATCACTTCTGATTGTGTCAATTATTTCTCTAAAGAAAGTTCATAATTCAATTTTTTTTTTTTTTTTTTTTTTTTTTTGAGAGAGAGATTTGAAATTGTGTTTTTAAATATTATGAATAGTAATCTAAATGTAATCTTCAAACATTTCTAAATCTTATTGTTTACATATTTCAACTTAGTTCAATTTAATATATTCTTATAATGTGAAAATGTTTATTTGGGTCCAAGCTTTTGACCATTTGTATCGAAAATTTGACGTAAAATTTAGAGAAAAAAGTGAAAACTATTTTAAAAATATAGAGATGGAAGTGAATACTATTGTGAAAATATATGGATTAAATTGGTATTAAAATGAAACTGAAAGCAAACAATTAAATCTATTATGATTGAAGAAACGCAGGCATTGAGGATTGCAGTTTGAAGGACCAAATTTTTAGGAAAAAACCCTATCTGTTTGCTTCGCATTCCCATCTTCTTCTTCACGGGACGAAACAGAACTGAAAATATACAAAAAAAGGGACCAAACAGAACAGACCGTTACTTAAATGAGAATTCAAATTCAAATTAATAATTATCTTGCCAATTCATTCAACCCAAAAATGGAGTCTAATTATAATCATTTTTCTTTCTCCTTCTACAAATTCCCCCTTTTTCCAATTCAACCTCTTCACCACTTCAATCACTCCCCACTATTTACAAAAGAAAAAAAAAAAAAACTTTCCCCCAAGAAAATCCGAACCCCTTCACTGATAAATCCAGGAAAAATCTCTCGTTTTCCCTTGAAAACAAGGGAAACTCCACACACCCATGTGAAATTTTTCACTGGATTCTTCTCCTGTTCATCGAGGGGTCTCATTTCTTTAGATTTCTGAAAATGGGTCTTGAACATTTCCGTCTCAAACTCAAGGTAAACCCATCTTTATCATCTTAAACTACTGTTTCATTGCATTTTCGTCCCTTTCTTTCATCGAGCTGTATTAATGGCGGATTGTAAAATGGGAATCTCAAAATCTTGAAGATGGTGTAACTTTTTGTAGGCGCTTAGATTGGGAAGGTTTCTGACGAGGAATAGAAGGAGTAAAAGACGGCCGGCGGCGGCGGTGTGTAATCGGACGTGGATGGCGCCGGTGAACCATGGGTATCATATGGTGGCCGATCTGTCGTATTCGAGGAATTGGGAAGAGGAATCGGAGCACGACTCTGTTGTGGTGCAGAGAGAGCAGATGGATGGGATTGAATTATGGTTTTTTGGGGTTTTTGATACTCAAATTGGCGACGAAGTCATCAAGTTCATGCAAACCCATTTCTTTGATAAGAACTTCAAACAGGTCAAATCTCAACATTATCTCCATTCTTCTAACCCTTTTAATCTTCAATCTCTTGCAGAATAAATTACCCTTCAATGCTTGTTTTTTGTTCATATTACATCATAAATGGTAACTAGTAGATGACCCCTTTGAGGACTTTTCTTGATCAAATAAAGTTTTCTAATCTAGAATTACCAATTTTATTTTGTTGGTGGGCGATGGTGCGAGATCCTATGTCTCGCAACGAAACATTTCTTATAAGAGGACGTTTCGTCTTAAAATTGTGATGCTAATGACAATACATAATGGGTCAAAGTGGATAATATATGTTTGCAGTGAGCTTGGACGGTTACAAGTGGTATCAGAGACAGTCACTAGACGGTGCGAGACACTAGTCTGAGTAGGGCTAGATTCTCTCTCTAGCATATGCATTTTAAAATCGTAAGATTGACGACAATACGTCAATACGTAACGGACCAAAGCGGACAATATCTGTCAGTGAACTTGGGCTGTTACATATAGGAACATAATTAGGGAATACGAAGGTGGAGAGTTGTTTAGATGATTTTCGTCCCAAGTTAACGTACTCGAGATTCTCAAGTTTCTCGAATACTTTGATTATCTAGTAAGTTATAGATTATATTGTACTTAAAATCGTTATTCTTCATATGGTATAATTTGCAGTCTCAAGTAAAGAGGAAGGGAAGAGAAGCAATGAAGAAAGCACATGTGAGTGTAAGAAGTAAGGTGAAAGAAGCAAAGGAAGGGAAGGAGGCATGGAAAATGGGATCATCTTCAGCATTGGTCATGGATGGAGATAGATTGGTGATTGCTACCATGGGGGACTACAGAGCCATTGTATGTGAAAATGGTCTGGCTCGTCAAATAAGCTGTGATCAAGATCCAACTAAGCAACGTTGGCACCGTAGATTAATGCTCGGTAATCTTCATTCTCTACTCACTCGACTCAGTGTATTTTCAAGCTCGAATGTCCTTAGGTAAGAAAACAACCAAAAAATCCCGTTAGAGCCTCTAAAATGAAACTTAAGTAACATGTGAATGACATGAACTTAGATGCCACCAAATCCCGAAGATAACCCAAGCTTGGACGATATCTTGTTGGTTAACATGAAGCGTTTTAGAGGAGGTCGAAAAGTACACTTATAGTATGAAGTGAATAATATCATCTATTGTATAACTTTTAATTCGATGGAGCTTCTCCTCAGGAATGAAACCTTGGAGAAGCTCCGAACTTGTGGTTGCAGCTAAAAGAATCAACTCGGAAACGGAATTCGTGATATTGGGAAGCAATGGCATATGGGAGGTAAGATATGAACTCCAAGAACATTTACATCTTCCGCATGAACAGATCTTGGTCAAATGTATTGAAATCCAGTTCTGAAATCAACATCATATCTTAACAATATTGCTTTTATGAGTGCATATATAATATATACATATCTTCAAGTTTACTGCATTTTATGTTCATTGTCAAAGAGCTTGCTTCAACTATGGTTTTTAAAGAGAATTTAAAAATTTCAAACCAAATGAACTCGATTATTTCAATATCTATATCGTTTTCTATCTCGTTTGAGAGTTTAATCTAATTTCTTTTCATAACTTTTGTAATGGAACGACCACTAACATAAGCTTCTTCCTTTTTCAAAGATAAGGTTTAAGATTTCACATCCATCGCAAGTGGAAAGTTTGAAAGCTTTTTTTTTTTTCTTTTTTTTTGACTTCGATAAGATACTGTTGGAATTTTTTGTTCGGAGACATTTCAATACATAGGTCATTTGGATATTCCTTTCGGTCTCTGCCTTTTATGTTTGGTGATCAATCAGGCCGATCCTTTGGTTTGAAATTTCTTCGTTTGGCCATAACTTATTGTAGTGGACATTTAAGGGGTAGTGGTATGCAAGAGAGGAAGCTAGGCTTGGTCTTGCATGTCCGAGTGTATATAATTTTTTTGAAAGAATGATATCTGTGATTAATATTTGAAAAGGAAATTCAGGTAATGAAGAACCAGGAGGCTGTGAATCTGATAAGACACATAGAAGACCCACAAGAAGCAGCAGAGTGTTTGGCGAAGGAGGCCTTCACCAGAATGAGCAAAACCAGCATTTCTTGTTTGGTCATTCGTTTCGACTAAATTTAGTCTTTCCTTTTTCTTTCTCTTCTTATCTATTTGCTCCCTAATCTGTTTACACTTTGGGTCATAATTGCTATGCTGTAAATATGAGCCATACCATTTGGTTTTTCCTGTAATAAATTTTGGACATCTTATTCCTTAAATTTTCCTTCACATATATATTCTTTTAATCCCGTTTCTAAATTTATTGTTAAAAGTTAGGCTTGTTCAATAAGTCAAGAAAGGCTGTATCATATAATTTATAATTATCTACTTTCTCTTCCATCTGTTTCAAAAGTTAACCTTATCGGTCAGAGTCAACTCTACTTAGGAAAGGAGATCTCACTAGTTGGGTATGTTAACGTAATCTCACCCATAATCAAGTTAGTCAATCTAAACAAATGATTTACAAATAATGAAATGATGTATATATGCATGAAATAAAAGAATAAAATGCAATTCAATTGGTTAAAATATATATTCTCGATCAAGATATTTGGTTACCAAAGAAATATATGCAAAGGTACCCGTTAAACATAGAGCTATTCTATAAAATCTACTTTAGAACGGATATTCTCATGTATGGAATCCACTCTAAGAGGATGTATCTTAGGGCAGCAGTGAGGATAATCCACTCTAACAAGTGGAGGATTAGTAACAGCTAGTAACTATGATGATGAATTGATGATTGATTATCGTATTCATGACAGAAGTACCTATTTCAGACTTGATGCCCGTCCCTTGGCTCGGAGTTCGAACGAGCACATTTGAGAATGACATCGCCTCCTGTCTCTATTCTCCTACAATCATTTAGACAATAAAGGAAACATTGTGTTCGTCCATCCCTTGAGTAGTATGAGATCCAGCTTTTTTTTTTTTCTTTTTCCCCAGTTTGTGGTTATGGCTGCAACCAGCTAAACAGTAGATCAAATTTTGCATAATTTGAAACTGGTTTTTCATTTAATAAGCCATAATGGATACTACATGGAAATTCATCACTGGAAAAATATGTAAAATATACAATGACCATGCTTAAGATAACGCTACTGAGAATATTTCATAAAAGATCAAAAAACAAACCGTTGTATTCTTCACAACCCAATCAAGGCTTGCGCTGCGCAAAAGACAAGCTTGAACTTTATGGTTCCTCAACTTCACATATTTAAGAGCACCACAAAATTGTGTCATGTTATGCAGTTCTCTTTTCACTGTTCTTGCTTCGGAAAGGTGATAGCAGGGAAAATGCACGAGAAGCTGTAGCAAGAACAAAAAATACATTTGAATTTGAGACCATAATGATCTTACAAGATGAAGACAATAGGGAAAAATAGAAACATATCAAATCATTGGCAATGCTTACACTTCTGAGTTTTGCAGGCAGTGGGGGTTTTGTCTTGAGAAATCAGATTTTTCAATGTAGGAACTGCTGGCAAAACAAAGGGTTTAAAGATATATTTGTTTCAAAGTTACATATACGCTCACAAAGCAAGATCAACAGAAACAAACACGTGGAAACATCATTGTCATATTTTTGCCAAACATGAGCTTTTCCATCATCCAACATGATAATTAAAAGTCTAAAAGAACAGAAACTGTGCCGTAGTAGTTAGTTAGAGCGATATATGACTTCTGATGTGTCGTTCAGTTCTCCATATTAATATGAAAAATGTACATGTGACTCAGCTAAATGAGTTTCAATTCAAGATGAAATATTGTTATATCTAAAGTGCTTAATTAGATAGTAGAATCACTTTTGTAGCATCATCTTTGAACTCTCAGATTAATGTATCAGATTGTTACTAGAAATATAGGCATTTTCGTCATCTGCTCAGCAAGTATCAAGCAACTAATATAAGTTTACCTTCATTGTGCGGAGTGGTATTTGTCCCAACATCATTGGCTTCAGAACCAGTTGCGCTGGTATTATCTGATTCATCATTATGCTCATCTGTAGCTGGGCTTTGATTCTTTCTTCCAAACTTCAGAAACAATCCAAGTCCTTTAGATGATTTTTTTGCCTCGGGTTTCTCTAATACTTCAGGAATCTTTTCCAATAGTGCGTTTCCATGATCAGGAACATAAGATTTAGCCGTTTCAGTGCCTGATGCTGCACTCTCCAAATTTGATGGGGTTGCTTTTCCATGCTCCGAAATGCGTGTGTAAGGATCTTCAAAAGACGAAACTCGAGCATGTGGAGCTTTATACAATTTTTCAGTCGTAGTAGGAGATGAAAAGTTTTGTGCTTCCTGATCTGCACCATTCACCGTCACCTGAACAAAGGAGCTTATATGTAAGACTATCTAGGGTTCAACTTGTTCTGTAAGCATTGCACTGTTCAAAGAATTCACTGAAAAACTTTCCACATCTGAGGAAGCAGTCAATCATACCTCACGAGAACTCAACTGACCCTGTGATTGGCGCTTGATGGGTTCTCTATTAACACCGGACACTTTAATTTGGGGATTAAGAGCATTGGTGGCAGAATATTCTGATGGGATATCAGTTTTTCCCTCCATTTTGTGCTTGCTATATGTCCTTCGGTCGCAAAGATTGTCTTGAGAAGCAGGACCTGTACGGATGGAGGGCTTCTCACATTCATGCATTACAACAGTCTTCTCAACAACAGGGTTGTCATCCAGTTCATTATGATGTGAGACTTTGGCAGTGATTTTTTCCATGGAAGCACAAGCAACATCAGAAACTGAAGAACAATTAACGCTCTGCGTCATTTCTTTTGCTAATGAGTTGCCAATTGTAGCACCAGGTCCCTTGGGCGTTCTAATTTTAAGTTCCGGAAGAGTTGCAGCCTTGCTCTTATCCAAATTCATTATAGCTGATATCTTCTTTTTGCTATCAGTCTCATTAGATACCTTCTTTTCGCTGTCAGTCTCATTAGATATCTTCCTTTTGCTATCAGTCTCATTAGATACCTTCTTTTTGCTGTCAGTCTCATTAGATATCTTCTTTTTCCCCTCCGTCTCATTTGTTAGTTTTGCCTTCAAAGCTGGCTCAGTGCTCCGCGCCTTGAAAGAAGTAGAATGATTGCTGATACTCATTTTTGGCTCTGATAATCTTCTAATTCGAGCCATGGATACTTTTTTATCATGTGGAGCCTCACTGTTTTCTTTCTTTAGTTTATTTAATGAAGGTACAGATTGACTTAACCGGTTTCCAGCTAAGTGATTTATACCATTCAATCTGCTGGGTTTTGCAGCACTGTTGGAATCATTGGAACCAATTGAAGCGGTTCTGATGGAGAACCTTTGCAGAGGAGATGATGGTCCTGGATCTGAATCACTAAATTTTGACCCTTTCTGAGAGCTCGGTGACATTTTTGTTGGCAGGAGCTTTCTAGTTTGTTGAGAGGGCAATGATGACTGAGCAGCAGTATTGCTGTTGTTACCCCTTGCTGCAATTCTCTTCTGCCTCTCAAGCTTTAAAGTTTCTATTCTTTTTATTGCCTCCTCCTCCTGGATAGAAGAATTTAGAATAAGTTATATATCCTGAACAAACTAGCCAGAAAACACACAAAAAAAAAAAAAAAAAAAAAAGATTCTGCAACTTTTGAGACATGACTAGCAAAAGAAAAAAATTTACATGAAGAAAAACATTTCTAATATGATACCTTCTCCTTCTTCAATTTCTGGAGATCAGCTTTATAACTTCTTAGCTTTTCAGCACGTGCTCGTGCTTCATCTAAAGGACTCAACTTAGATGGCTTTCCCTTCCTTATTGGCCCGCCAGTTTTTCTGTCAGGAGTAACTTTTGGCTTTCGATCATTGTCCAACCTTTTAGTCCCTTGTTTAACATCAGTCACCATTTCCTTCTTTTTATTCACAGCTTGTACACGTCCAGCATGGACTTGCATTTCATATTCTGAAGCAGGATCATAGCCGCCAGCAGGTTCGTTTTCTGTTTCACGCTTTGGCACCAGATTCAGTACATCTGGCTCGTAGTCAGCAACTCTATTGGACAAGTTTTCTGCCTTACGATTTGAAGATGGAAACTCAGAATCCATGTCAACAGCACTTCTACCTTCCTTTCCTACTGCATCCATTGATGTCGATCTTAATGTAACTATGTAAGAATCACCATCTAAATTATTTGAAGAACTTTTATCATAACTCATTTTTGTATTATCAAAGCCACCTGCAGCTAATGGATCCGAGTAAGCGTTAGAATGAGTTTGACCTTTTTGTCCATAAACTATAAAATCATCACTACCAGGCCTCCTGTAGCCATTTCTTCCTCCATCTAGTTCTGTAGCCTGCACGTTCAAATGACCATCTCCAGATAGACTATCTCCTCTGGAAGTTAATAATTCATCATTTGATGCTCTTGACATGCGGTTGATTCTTCCACCAACTCGATCAATGTCTGTAGCACCATTTTCTCGGATTTCATTTTTGCTCCATCCTTGAGCAATCAATGGATCATCACCAACTTTATTTTGTTGCTTTTTCTGCTTCGTCTCCCTTTCCAAGGTAAACAGGCTTTGATCAGCATGATGTTTATCCCCATCAGCATCCCGAAGTAAAAGGCTTTGGAATGCCTGCCAATGTCCATCTGCTTCTGGTGAAACAGTTTTTGCAGAAGTATTTGATTGATCTCCAAAATTTAGATGTTTTCCTTTGCTCCTTGACGATCTAGGTGATTTCTTGTGTTTAAGTTCCGGACTAATAGCCTGTGAATCTCCATCTTCACCACTTTCACTATCAGACCGTGAATCTGTTTCACTGCCTGATGAGTTGTGTCTCTTCGATGCAATGTAGTTGATGTTGCGGATGACAACCACACTCGACTTCTTTTTACCTGATCGACCAGCTTTTCTTGGATCTTCTGAAGCTTCGTGCTCTGATTCTGCATCATCTGGTGTTCTTGTTTCTGAAGCATTCGACTCCCAGGCCTCTGGTTCCATCGACTTATCTCCACTATCCATGGAGTGCCTTTTGCCTCCCATTTTTTTACCATCACCCGGGCGGGAATCCTCTGTTACTGGATAATGTGGATGAAAGAATGGGCTACTCCCTGCATAGTTCTGATAGTAAGGCATTCCTTGCATGGGGTATCCTTGAAAGACAGGTAATGCACCTGGAGGAGAATTGATGGGCCAGGGAGGGTAGACATGATGAGGATACTGCCCTTGAAGATACTCCTGGTGGCCTGGTGGTGACTGGTACATCATAGGTGTCCGTGTATTTCCATCTGCGAAAATGAGTGACAAAAAAAATTTAACCCAAAATTGAAAAGAGTAAAACAAGCAGCATTGTATAAGGCAGACATGTAGTATCGCTAGTGTTTCTTAGTCTATAGATTTGATAAAAAAATCAGGAGACTGTAAAAACAACTTCAATTATTGATCGACACTCTATCAGTTAAAATTAGTCCCATGGCTGTTACTTTGTCACAAATATAATGATGTTGCATGGACATTTTAAGTCTAAGACAAAAATTAGGAAAGCTTCAGTTTAGAATACATAATTTAACCAAATTTTATCAGATTCCCAATGTTGCCATATCACACCTGCACTTGCATTCCCCTTATTTGTCGGAGATGGTTCGCTTTGAGATTCAGACAATGCTTCTCTAGATTCTGTCTGCTTGTCAGTCATACTTGTAAGTATAATGCCTGATGCATTCATGGAAGGGGAAAAGTCTGCTCGGCTGGACAGTGCTTCTGCTGCTTCAATTTCAAGCCATTGGCCACTTTCATGCTTTCTTTTCCACAGTTCTTTGAATTTTATGCATGCATCCCTATTTGTTTGCAGCAAATTATTCACACAATGAGTCATCAACTGCAAGAAATATGATGT